CACCTCCCGGCCCGCAGGTTCTCAACTTCGGTCCCGCCTGGCTGGCCGGGGTATCTCGCCGCCTTCGTACCTCGTTCGGCTACCTGACCGGCTGGATGGGGCTGCCAGTGCCCAAGCCACTTCCCATCTACATGGTGAATGGGAGGCCCATTCCCGTGCCCAAGGTGGGCGGGGGTTGCAGGGGGGAGAGGAAGGAAGGGGGCGGGGAAGGCATCGGCCGTGGAAGGGAAGGGCGGTGGGGTTAAGGGTTGTGGGGGTGCAGCACACAGTCGACCAGTCCCTAGGTCGCGGTTGGGAGGATTAAGCTGAGGGCGGGGAGGGGCGTTTCTCGAAGGCCCCCAACCCCCCGTGGCTTTTAACCCATTTCACCCTTAACAACTTCCGTCAACGCGGCCCCGCGGCACTCCCGCAGCGCTTCCTCACCTTCGTTCCCTCCTCTCACTCCCTCTCCTTTTTTCTCTCCCCCCCTTCGTCCCCTCACACACAGCTTCATCCCCCTCCCCTTTCCCCTTTCACCCCCCCCAAACAAACAAAAACCCAACCCCACACAGATTCCCCGCGACCACCCCGATTTCGACAAGGAGGTGGACAAGCTGTTGGAGGCATGTATTAAGGAGTTGGGGGAAATGTACGACAGGCATCGTGGAGAGTACGGCTGGGCTGACAGGCCTCTCTCCATCGAGTGAGAGATGAAAGAGTGAGTTGGGCGCTTCCGTGCAGCCATACACGAGGTGCTTCGCAGCCCGTGCTCTGCTTCACATTTTTCTTTTTTTTTGACGCGGTGCGGGGGGGGTTCGACTTCTCTTGGCCGTCGAAGAGTAGAGCTACATGAGGCCACATGCGGCTGATATGGTGGACATGGCGCAAAATGGCGATGTCTGTACTGCGTTAGTTAAGAAAGTTAGTTAGTGAATAGGATCGACGTCGCAAAACGCCAGAGCGAGAAGAGCGAGCAGTAGCAGCAGCAGCAGCACCTACTGTGCGCATCTCAGCGTGTGCTTTGGAATCGTGATTTGCGCGGTGTGCTTTATAGCTGTGTATGCGCGTGTGTGTGTGTGTGTGTGTGTTGATCCTGGGTTGCGTTACCCAAAGAGGTGTACCGAGTGCACATACACGAGCTAGCCGAGGCGGGAGGGGCGGGAGGTAGAAGCCGCAAGCTAGATAAATGACCTTCGCGGCGCGTATTGAAACCGCGCCGCGGTAATATGACCTTTGGTGCGTGTCTGTATGTCTTTGTACATCCGATGGAGAGAAGGGAGAAGGGAGGGAGAGCGTGTGTTCAGGATGGGGGCTGGTTAGCCGCCTGGTTGGCTCTGGTGGGAGCCCGCCGGCAGGTTGTGTTTTATGTGGAGGTCGGGAATGGGTGAAGGGGAACTGAACACAGAAGTGATGTGGCTGTCTCCTGTGTTTGTGTGTATGTGTGTGTATGTATGTGTGTACACCACACCCACACATACCGTCACCTACCCTCCGCCCGGTTATCACGACCTGCTGCGGGTTGTGCACCTGTGTTGCTGCTTCTTGACAGTGTTGCTCCTCCACCGGCCGTTTATGCCGCCGACTGCCGGCGTGGAACGGAACGGAGAGGTTGGAGGTGGCAGCGGCCCGGAGGGCTTAGGGCCCCTGTGCGCCCCTGTGGCGACTTGCAGTGTACGTCACGTCACGTCATAGAGGAGGGCGCAAGCAGGGAGTGGCATCGGGAGGGGGTGAGAAGATAGTCGCTGGAACTGGGCCCCGGGGCTGTTCTTTGGCTTCTGTGACCTTTCGTGTGTCGTCAGTCTGTATGTCAGTCAGGGTGTCTGTCGCTCCGTCGGTCGTCGCCAAATCAAGGAGAAGGCAGGAAGGATAGGACACGGAGGAAGAGGAGGAGATAAATCGAAGAATTCTAATACGTTACATTGAAATGTGGTATGAGCGCAGTGTGGGATATAGAGGGGGGTGGGCTCACCCCGGGGGCTTGCAGGCCCCGCGGAGGGTTGCGAGGTGGGCATGCGGGGGGGGGGTGGATATAGAGGTGTAGAGTGACCTCCGCCTTCTGTTTTTTTTCGCTGCACTGCAGTTGCGGCGAGGCCGGCTTCACTGCTCTCTGCAGTAGCTGTAGGCTGCGGCATGTGCACACTTCTAATGCCGCTCCTGCTTGCTAGCGGCTTTTGCTGAATGCCCTAAATTTCGTGTCCAGCGTCCTCCTCCGCATTGTAGAATTCCTTGGAGTGCATCTTGGATCTGTTTTGGATCCTCAGCTGGGCAGCGCCCAATCCCACATGGCCGAAAAGAGAGCAGAGCGCGCACTTTCGGTACATCACTTGGGGGTTTCATATAAAGATCCCAGATCCGGGATCTAGGATTCATTGCTTGGGATTGATCTGTTCGGATTCATTGCCCGAGATGCTATAGAGGGTGCAGTCACCACACACACACACACACAGAGCGCGGCTTCCTGCGGCTGTGGGATTTTGTGCCGCGCTCCGTTCTCCGCCCTCCCTTCCCCGGCCTGAGGTCATAAGTCCTCCCTCCTTTTAAAGGGGAGATCCATTCCTCACCGCGAGGCAGTGGATGCAATGCACTTGTGGGTATCTGTATCCACGCCCAATCGTGATTGAGAAGAGATCCGCACCCAACGGCGGGCGAAATCCAGTACTGTTGATTGTTGGTTGCTTACTTGGGCCTGACGCGCTATGCCGTTGATATGGTACGTTGGTGGCTTGTGAGGGCAGGTGAGGTGAGGTTGGCCATAATCATGTTTTTTGCCATTTCTTATTGCTGAGGATATGAGAAGGGAACGAGATGATGGTGATGATGTTTTACGGAGGGGAGGTAGCGTGAATGTGCTGAGTATATTCCTGTGTCTTGTACGAGTATAGTTGGGAGAGGGAGAAGCTTCCTAGTTGTGGCTTGTAAGGGAGGGGTCCACCTTTTCTCTTGCATGATCGGGTTGCGGCGTCGGCGGCCCCGGCGTCACGTCGAGGTTGTGTCGTTGGAGCTTCATGCACTGAATTCTCTACACGGATCTTTGCCTTAATTTGCTTCTTCGACTTTCGTTGCCAACTCTTGTGTGCATTGTGCATTGCCGTCGTTGGGCCACTGTGGGTCCCTGGCCAGTGCCCCCCCCCTACGCATAGATACCCATATGCGTCAAGTACTACTACTGTAGTATTCGGAGTCCACTTCCCTGGCCATCAAGAAAGAGTTCCTGTTACACCGCACCCACTCTCGCAGCGGCAGTGCCAGCGGGGGAAAACACGCAGTGCAGGCCCCTCCCTCCCTCCCTCCTCTCTTCCCCATCCAAGCGGCCAATCCACACACACACACACACACACACACACGCGGGATGGAGCGGGGTCTCACATAGGATCACACAGGTCACCTGGATATGCAGCGCATGATGGTGCGTTGCGGCTGCACGTCCATCTCCCCCAAAGACCACTTTGGCAGCCTAAGTCCCTTAGGCAAAAGACGCTCAAGAGTCCTTCGATGCAGCCATCGGATGGCAGCCCGGTGCTTAGTCAGCCAGGGGCCAGCCGTACATACACATTTACCCCCGGCCTGGGGAAGAGGGAGACCACCAGCAGGGGCCGTGTAGAAGTCCGTCTGGGCCCAGGTAAAAGGATCAAAATGCAGCGCCGTACGGTACGGCAAAGAATCATGCTGTACCTGGGGCGTAAGTCACCTTAACGTGCTATATACACCCTGAAGCCCTAAGACTAGTGCAAAACAGGTAATGCACAAGCGGCCGCCAGTCACACAATGGCCCCGCGCGTGGGCAGAAACATATCTGTCAACTTAAGCCAAACCAATAGTACGACCGGTCTACATAACTCACACAAGGTACGGCATTCATCTACCGGACGTCTAAGCTCAACACTACAAATCTGACATGATGATATTGCACTATAGCTATACTCTGCGCCATTGGTCGTACTGCGCTATATTTTATTACGGTACGACATGCTACGGTAGTACGAGACAGGACAACGCTGTCCTACATACGGCATGCCGCCTCAGGCCCGTGGGGCTCTCGCTCCCTCAATAACAACAACAGCTACCTAATACGGCCTAATAGTGCCAGCTATACTAAACTGAAAGGAACGGAATGCATCTAGGATTCCATCCCCCGGCCTAAGGGCAGCATTTTTCTACAACGTATAATGATTATAATCAATCCCTTGAGGGAGCGACGCAGCTGACGTGCCACACTCAGCTCATGGCGTCCGGTGGGCCTTATCGACGCCGCTGCTTTGCCGCACTACCTACCCAGCGGCCCCCACCACCACAACAACAACGGACAGAGTGCCTAGTAGGCAGACATGTACGGCATCTGTAACTCCTTTCATCGCAAAGCCAGGATGGTGGAAACTGGAATTGCAACGGAAGATATAATGTGTAAATGTACGCACATGTACATACGTACATACACATATACATCCGGACATGCGCACGCATATGCAGACAAGGATTCTAAGGTGCAGGGCAACGCGCCAGCAACCCCGGGTAGCACAACTCTTGTATGGAATGCACGTGCATGCAGAAACACACATGTATGTTATATGTGGCAGCGGCTTTTCCTAATTAACCTAATTAGAACATGTATAATATAAATGGCCAATAACGGTAGGTGGGTAGGTAGGTAGGACAACAGCAACTAACAACAATATCAACCGCAACGGGGACCAGCCGAGCTCTCTCTCCCCCTAGCGTTCTAACTCTACCTGACGTCTTTCTCCACCTCCCTCCAATTAATCACGAATCCAATCTATCACCACCACCACCACCACCACCACCACCACCGCCACCACCACCGCCACCACCACCACGGCCGCTTGCGCACACCTGCTCGCCCAGAGAGCTGCCGCCCAGTGTGGCCGAGTAGAGTAGTTCACGTCGGAGCCTCCTCCGCGCGAAGGGAGGTCTGAGGGGGCAGTCGTACTCGTATAAACCCCTATAAACCCTACGCACGCCCACACCCTCAGCGGTACGGAGGGGAACCCATTTTCCCGGTCTACGAAGGGCCTGCCGACACCTCCAACACACCGGCCGCAGGGGAAAGGTCTTGCGGTGCCGGGGGCTTACACCCCCCCCCTGGTTGTCACACCATGGGGCAGCGCGCCAGGGACGGAACCCCGTTCTAGATACACACACCCGCTACCCATGATCCACCTCCCGGCTGCAAGAAGCATACCCACGTACCAAAAGGTCGCCGTCTCGAGGCGGCAATAACCCCCCCCACCACCATCCTTGCCCCCCTGTTCCCCCCTCATCCTCATCCGCATCCTCGTCCTCACCCTCACAGCAGCTGCTTGACCGTGCGGCTCTTCTGAAGGCTGCGGGGCTTCTTGAACTGCCGCACGGAAGCCCCTGACTCCAGTTGCTGTCCGGGGTCGGGGGGATTTCGGGGGTTGGGGGTTTGGGGGGGTGGACCCCGGGCGACAGGGCGTCGCACCACGATGTGTTTAGCTTGGGTGTGGGTGTGGGTGTGGGTGTGGGTGTGGGTGTGGGTGTGGGTGTGGGTGTGGGTGTGGGTGTGGGAGGAGTCAGGTCGAGGATCGAATGGGATAAATCCCGCAGAGCATGTTGTGAATTTACAGCCCCAAAAGGAAGCACATATACCCGGGTAACAGAACCCCGATAGCCGCCCGACGAACCTCCCACAATGTACATATTTCAACCCGAACCCTCACCTCCTGTACGGCAGCAGTCCGCGTCACCTCCACTGATGCGTCATCAGGCACCTTGCCAGGCACCATCAGGTCCTGACTGCCGTACATAGGTCCGGATCCAGATCTGGACGCAAGTCCCAAAAGGGGCGTTCCTGGTTCCGTTGCGGCCGCCACCGCCATCTGGTTCCGCCGCGAGGCAAAGGCGGTGATGGAGGGGCGGCTGGCAACGCCGGGGAGCTGGGAAGCGGAGGCCGGGGAGCTCAACCCGGCTCTGCCGCTACCTCCCCCTCCGCCGGCGGCTGTCACCCCCACTGCGGGCTTCCACTCCGTGAACCCCGTGTCCGCCGCCGTCCCCGCCACCGGGGAGCCCACCGCCTCCTGCTGCGAACCCCCCGCCCCAGACCCCCGGGTCAGCTTCCTTTCAAGGGGAGAGACAGACCAACCACCGGGAGACACGGGCGCGGCTCCCCCGCCAGCAGCTCCCCCGCCGGCAACTCCCTGGCCGGCAGCTCCCTGGCCGGCAGCGGCAGCAAAGGAGAAGGAGGGTTCGGCACCGCCGCCGCTGCTGCCTCCTCCCCCTCTTCCT